TTTTCTTCTTCTCTCTCTGTTTTATTCTATTCACACATAGTCCAAAATTTTGGGTGAGTTGAAAGGAATTGGAGGATCGATAAGATTGTGGACAGATGCCCACAAATTGATACAACAAAGAGGCTAAAATTTGAAATATAACAAAGCAGAGAAATGAGAGAATGGAAGACAGAGAAGATGATCGAGAACAATACTTTTTGTATCAACTAAGAAAGATTTATTTGTTGTGGAAGACAATGAGTTGTAAATGTTTTAGGATTAATTTAAAGAAAATAAATATAATCAGTATATTAATTTAAGGAAATTAAACATAATTTGATGATCGTGCACTGACATTGCTTGTTGAACAATGCAGCTAATCAATTTGATGCTGAGGGAAGATCAAAAGACATAATGGATATGATTGACTTTATACCAATAGTTTAGGGTAAAAACGGAATACAAATATTTTTCATGTATCCTCACTTTTTTAGAAGTATAGATAGATTGAGTTTTTGAGCGACCTTTTGGGCTCTCTGGTCCATCATTACGCACCGTATGCAATTAACAATTCCCCTTTTTATCCTTTTTTTCTTATTATTATTTCTAAAGCAACGGTAAAATAAACATTTTCGCTAGCATATGTTCTACATCCAATGCCAAGTAAAATTAATCTTCAACTCAAGTTAACCTACCTCAAAAAAATATATACATCCTAATTATTTGGAATCAAATATATAAATTATATTTTTTATTATATTCTATGAAGAACAATAAAATTATTCTCCGGAAGTTAAAAAATTGTACCAAAGCAATAATTTTAATAAATGAATGAAGGGGAAAAGGTGCACTTTGTTAATGTTTTTAGCCATAGAGAAATAAAGGATTGATAGAGAATTACACTAGTGACTCTCAATTTTAACTGATGCATATGGTTAGCAGGTGATTGGAGATATTCAAAATTTATTTTTTATATTATAGATCTAATATAATGTTACATTAAAAGGTTCTTTGTTACCAAAAAAATAAAATAAAAGATGATGATAGGACTGTCACAAATAATTTTGAGAGAGATCTAGTAGTGTGAATAGTTAAAAATGTGCCCCTTTGAGCTATCAAAGGATCATATACTTGTTTTGGGTTAAGGTTGTGTCGTTCTTGGGAATTACTTGCACTCTTTTCATCTAAAAATAAAAAAAAAAGGCAATAGACCATCCCCAAAAAAAGAATTAAGATATTATTTATTTGAAATACATTTTTTAACAACTTGATTTCCGTCAAACTACCCTTCTATAGTATTTCATAGGCTCGTGATTAAGAAACTCTTTCGTAAATAAATCAGTGTTCTTATAAAATACTATAGTATCATAAGCAATATACCGTTTCAGATAATTATTGTTCTTCTCTCCTATTTTATTTTTCTCTTTGAACAACTTCATTGCTTATTTCTGTAGAGCTTCTGACCACTTTGCTGAGGCAAATGTGTTATGATTACCTACTTGCATTACATTTTCAGTTGGGGAGCCCATGGTTGCTATTAGCAACACTAAATCAATGCATAACAGTTGCAAGTTGTGTCCCGAATATGACTAAACCCACTTACGAAAGGTATTAATAGTCGTTAATCATTGCCTTAGATTCTTTTCAATGTTTATTATTATTGTTATTACTACTACGATTATTATTCTTATTACTATTATTTTGTAATCATCGCTAATTTGTTATTATTACGAATGCTACTCCTAATTCACCCTACTGAGAAGTTCTCAAGCATTTCATGCTTTGTTTTGCATAAAGGGCAATAAGGTCTCCCACGTAAATGTTGAAGATTATTTTGTACCCGACTTATTGTAGAGTTTTCTAGTTGTATCTTGCAGTGTTGAAAGCAGACTTCCATTGTCATGATACTAAGTCTCTCTCTCTCCTCCCCTCTTTTCTCATCCCATAGGGTGACACCCTTATTTCTTGTTGTCTTTTAAAGTACTTATTCACATGCTTGGTTTTGTGCAATGTTCGAGTAGTTACAAACACTAATGAAATTTTCTCGTAATGTTCATTCTACTGAAGCTGTTCAAACAACAACCATGAATGTTGAATCACCATTTAGGTACGTGTTCGTGTTGACTAAAAATATCGTAATGGATTGATCTGTGGCTGAACGTCACCAAGATCATGCTCAATATGAGATACCCATGCAGAAAGGGGATGTCTTCTACTGAATCTCCTTCAAATCCTGGAACATTTTAAGTTACTAGAGTTCTATCCACCAAAGAAACATGTAAGTGCAGGACTTTATTCTATCTCAAGTGTATTGACATAAACATATTTGGAGTATTGTCCATTGATTGCATTCAATTTAAACCAGGGAAACGAGCAGCTTCGCCCCTTCGCTTTTCTCTCAAGCGTTATGGATCTCTTGTTAATAGATCGAATACTCCAAGTTATAACAATAAACAGCGGTTAAGCATCAAAACTAGTTAGCATTTAGTAAGTAGATTCTGCTTTTGAAATATAGTAGAGAACAAAAGTTGAAGTTGCTATAGAATTCTAAACATAATTTGAGGAGCACATACTAGTTAGAAGCTTTAATTTGAGGCTGCTTAACCCCTGTTCTTATGTAATCAGTTCCCATCGGAGCCTCAAAGATCAGTTTTCATGTGCATTCATCCAGAAAGCAACAAATGAATGCATGCCATGATTGGGAGTGGAAGGCTGAGAACATCCCTTTGACACTTTTTGGTTTTCAAATTCTACATGCCATACTCCAATTCATAGTTAATTGACCATCGGATCAAATGCTTGGATCCGTGGTTGAAATTTGCTCATAACCTTGATGCTGTCAGGTTCGAATCTGTGAGAAATCATTTTACAAATAATGCCAAATGTTTCAGTACTCACACTCCACCCCGACCCCATCAATGAGGACAAAATTGGATGCCTGCAGATGTGCGTAAAACAAAATTGTTGGCTTTTATAGAACTCTCTACTGAGACAAGAAACAAGATGGTCCTCAAAGTTTGATGGTATAGCAGACACACAAAAGGAAAAGAATACGATGTGGCCTTTGTTCAAAATCCAAGATCAAAACATGGAAACTCATCCATTTTTCTCGTGCCTGTGGGCTCCTCGCAACTCTTCCTTTCACTGTCACAAGGCTCAGGAGCTTCATGACATGTAGCACTAATTTCCCATGTTAACTGCACAAGGCTGCACCAAAAATAATCAGAAGTTCAGAACCCTGAAAATTTTCACAAACGTTGAAGGGTAAAGGAGAGGGAGGCATTCCACCACTTTGCAACATAACCAACTAGTTCTTTTAAGATGGATAAATGACATCGAACTATGATATTGCATGAAACATCACCAATGTGTTATTTCATGCGCTTTCAACTTGGCTTGGCTCCATAAATGCCTTTTCTCCTCTGCAGGATTCATCTAATCTAATAGCTCATTTTTTCTCATTGAACTCTTTCTTTTTGCTTTTTTGTTTCATTTCTTCTTCTTACACCTATTCTTTCGGTTTTCCTTTTTGATGTTTGTTTTGGTGTTGGGGAGGGGTTTTTGTGGTTTGGGGCTGAATCCTTCTTTACTTTATATCTGCTATTGACAACATAAAAAAATGAAAATTGGAAAATGAAGCGGGCGAAGTTGTCTGATGTGCTTAAACATCAAGCAAGAATGGTGGCAACAAAGAGTAAGAAGCACTGGAAACTAGACCTGGGGGAAGTTTCCGGGTTTCACTTTGTTGGATAAATGACTGGTACTAAAGCCAGATTTCCCTGCAGATATTACTGTTTGTCAGAATCCCTGGCTTGTTGCACACTGGATAATAGAATTTGGAAAGACTAACCAGATATTTTAAGTGCATGTAATTGAGGTAAAACTTGCCTTTGGAAGGCATTAAATCAGGGTAATCCCTTTTTTCTGCAATTCCATTTGACATATCTGGCAGCACTGATGCAGTTGGCGGTGGGCCCTCAGAATCCAATTTAAGAGCATCCCAAACTTGAGCCTCCACAACAGGAGCATTTGGCCTTGTCCTACTTCTATCAGACTCTGTGCACACTACATCATTAACCATGAGTCCTGAGATCTCTGATTCTCCTGATCTGGAATAAGGTATTACACAAGTCCAAATATTAGTCAGAGCAGTCTTACATAACATATATATGCGTCATATGCTTACAATAAATCAAAGCAACAGGTACCGCCATAAAGAATTGCTTTATCACATAAAAAGTGATGTCACTATCAGAATCTATGTAAGGGATATTTTTATTTCTACGTAGAAGTCACCAGAAGAGATTCAATAAATAGAAGAGCTTGGTTTATTGTCTCATGAGTTCTGACCAATGGATCCTGGAATTCAATAAGTTTGAGCACTCTTGGCAAGGGACACATGCACTTGTAACATGAAAATAGTTTAGACGTAGAAGGAAGAAATCTAGTCTCCCAACCTGAAAGATACCCCTTTTCTCTAGGTGAATACAAGCATGTGAATTAACATTTCTCCATGCAATTAATATTGACAAAGATTACTTCAATGTAGCACATCAAGTATATACATACCCCAGAGTGAAGCTGGATGAAGTAAAAAATTTTTGGTTGTGAGTCTCCTCTGTTGTTAGAATCTGCTGACTCGCTGATCTCAATCGAAGGATCATTGTCAACAGCTTTGGATTTTGAAATCTCACCACTGTAGTTGTGCGTAGCAGTAAATTCTTTATCACAGTCCTCTGTGGCACTTCTCTTATGATAGAAGTCCTGCACAGTTTGTTCCTCTACCTGATTCTGAATTTCAGAATGAAAAAAACCTGAAGATTGTGAAGCATGGCGCTTCTCTAGAGATGCCCTCTCCATGTTGCCAAAACGCTCCTGAATAATGGGTTTCTTGAGAATGGACAAAATTTCATGCACTGAAGAATCAGAAACCAAATTCTCAAAAATTAATGAGTGCAACAGAGCATAAGTACATGAAAAGATGAATGTCAACAAGAAGTTTTTCCAGAAAAAACCCCTCCCCCTAAAACAACAAAAAGAAAAAGTGTTAGATTATAATCTGAGTATTGTAGCTTGATGTACTCAATTTGAGTCTCCATCACAAAATAAGATATCTGCAGAAAAGTCCTTGATACTATCATACATTATGCAATGGCTCATTGTTTTAAATGGTAAAACTGCTACAGCAGGCGCCAGAAACATGATGTGAAAGATCAAATACTGCTTTTTCAGGCTATCCTCAGAAAAAATAAACGTAATCCAGGAAAAGCACAACTTAGTTAGGAAATAGAAAAGCAAGTAGATGTATAATTTTTTGTATATACATACACTTAGTCATGGGAACACTGAAAACATACAAAAACAGAGTAAAGGATAGAAAAAGAAAGGAAATTAAATTAAATCAACTCTAACTATCCTCTTAACACACGAAGAGACCACCAAAGTTAAGAGAAGCGATAAATTCACTTCTTTCAATTTGTGTGTACACATACATATCTAACTGGTAATTGATGTTCATCTGGCTAAATCATGTAAAAAAGTTCCTACAAAATAAACAAATAGGCCAAAAACTTCAGAGCCAACCACCCTAAAACCATCATCATAAACCCGGAAATCTTACTGTGAGACAAATACATAAATGAGATTTTGATAACCGATAACATTGAAGATAATTGATTAGTGGCTGCTTCGAACCAGAAATAAATTTCAAAGAAAATGTGTATCTTAAATATGTTTTGGGAGCCAACTTTATACTCAGAGTTCCCCAAGTGCACTGGCATGCCCGGAGTAACTCTAATTTTGTAGAATAAACCTCTAACATGACACTTCGAGGTTCATCCTTCACTCGTAAGGCATATACCTTTTGTTTCTTTTAGAAATATAATGTTTCAGAAACCATTGTATCAGTGTTTTAGCACAAACTACTGAAACAATCCCCAATAGTGACTAATAGACACCCATAGTCTTAAGTTAGGACCCTGTAAGCTCAACATATTAGACCTTACTAAATGTAACAAATATAAAAGTTTTTACAAGTATAAAGGCGAGTAGTTTGTAACAAATATAAAGTTCTTTACTACTATGTAGATCATTTGGATGAAAAGAAACACAAGGATTTTTTAGGATAAAGGCGAGGAGTTTGAAAGGATATGGAAAGATTGTATTTTTTGGCTTCTTTTTGGGCCCCCGTGACTAAAGAGTTTGAAGATATTCCTCTCTTTTGCATTACTGCTAGCTAGAAAGCTTCATGTGGATTATAGCTTGCTTTTCTTTATGTTTCTATTAATCGATCATTGTGTTGGACGACTTGTCCACCTTTGATTCAGTTATCACCTTTGTATTGCCTTTTTGGCTTTTTTATCAATAAAGTCTTGTTTCTTATCAACAAAAGAAAGTAAACAAAGACAATTGTTTTTGGAAGACTCCGATGACTTGTCTTACATATAAGTAATTATCAGGGTCAGGCCTATTCCCAGCAATTTATGTTACTAGTATACTGCACTCAGTGGGGCTGGGCATATCAACAAATTACTGGCCATGTAAAGGCAACTGCCGTCACAGGGTAAGAGGTGGCATAAAGGCTTGTTTGAAGGTTCTTTCTTGCTTAATTTGATAGTGTCAAACTGGAGCTTCTAACCTTTGAGTCGTTATCTTTCCATCAAGAAGCATTGTCTCAAGGTTCTCTCACACATCCAAGTCAATACACTTACAGAAGGAAAGATCAGTAGTACCATATAAAAAGGTAAAAACAAGAGAATAAAGGAAAGCACAAGAAAAACCTCTATTATGAAGTACTGCTTACAAAAAAAAAAAAGGTATTAGGGATGAAGAAGCTACATCATGATTAGCTATGGAAAATTCAGAATGCTTCTCTCATGGACACAAGGGTGAAAAATGAAAAACCATTGACCATTTGCTATATTAACGTCTTCACTTACATTTATATGCAGAGATTCAGTAAGTTTGATAGCAGAGAAAATATAAAACACACATAAACGGGGAAAAGAAATCAAAAAGGCCAAAATTATAGGAATTGTAGAGCTCCAACAATGCTTGTCACAGCATGTGACAGCTGACTTACCATCTCGAAAAGGCTGCTTTGCAGGTACTCTTCTACTAAATTTGATTTTGTCAGTCCCGTAGCTTCTAAAGTTTGAATCCACATGTTTTAAAGGGGAAGCATTCTTCAGAGACTCTCCTAAAACATCCGAGTTAAAACATTCACAGAAGGGAAGTTCAGGAACCTATGAAAGAAACAAGTAAGATGATATGAGAGCAAACGAAGCACCCACAAACACAACCGCATACCTTGATGACGTAACAAAAATATTGGAGAAGCCACATCGTAATTTTTACATAAAATGTAAGAGAGTAGATGACAACAAAAAATGCCTCTTAGAGCAGAACTTTACCTTTATGACTCGTCCGTTGCTCACCAACCTCCACCAAATAATTTGGCAGTTTTAATGCACTTCCAGTAGTCACATCTTCTAATAACTTGAGGAATTTGCGGCTCAAAATGTTCCCATCTTCAGTCAATAGAGTAACCTGATAGTTATAGAATCAGCCGATACAACAGAAAAGTGAAAGTCACAAAATTAGAAAAACTTCACAGCAGGAGCTGAAATTTAACAGCAGAGAGCATTCAAAAGAACATGATATCTAATTCCATTTCATTGTTTGTAAAAATATTTATGAAGTTTATAACTTAGAGGAACAGATATGTTTGCTGGTGATTAGAAAATCAGCCTCTCATCTTTATGTCAATTCCTTGCAGTTTTAATGGAGTTACTCCATGTAAATGATGAATTGCTTGACAGTGTTGCCGAGTTATTAACCAGACATCTTACTAAGTCCTTTCTTGTTAACACAGCATATATGGAAAGGAGGGGATTCCATAAGCATAAAATCTCCGGGATACAAAGGCCAAACGACAAATTCAAGTACCGAGGAATATACCACAAAAGTAGTTCTACATCACATGCCAAGCACTTATCAAACCCAAAAGGTTGGTTGAAAAATTTTCATACTAAGGGCAGATATATAGATATATTAGAATCGATATCACTGTAATAAATGCCAAAGATCAGGCATTTATTATTTATGGAAAAATACAGTGGAGGCCTCTTCCCAAATAATAAGAAGCCAGAATGAATCTACAAAAGAGCCAACTTAAAATCTAAATGAAATAGCTTCTCTGAGAAAGGTAACATATCAATTTTGCTACTTGAAACCAACAGAGAGCCTCTGCTTGAGGCACTTGAAGAAAGACCTAAATGTTTTATCAAGTTTCTTGGAACTTATAACTTGGAAGCAATAATGTTTCATAGCATATACAATTCAAATGAATTTATTGGTACTACTGTGTACTAATTACACCAGACTGTAGAGTCGTTCATAAGCAACCATTCAAATTTAATTTAGGGGAAAGAAAATGAGCATTAATTTGGTATAAATGAGCATTTTCTAACATAGCACTGATCAAGATTAGATAACTATATTATAACAACACATTATAGATAATGGACATCAGTAAAAATACGACCAGATACATAGCATATCATCTTATAATTAAAAATAGTAGATACAACAAATAAATTATAGATATAAGCTCTTCACAAGCACGCCTCTACTATTCAAAAATGAAGTTCATGGTATATGGTGCTGGCATTCAAAAAAAACTTCAAATAAATCAACTGAGTCGTTACCAGAGTATGCACAAAGATGACTAACATAATCATTTAAGCAGGGAGCAGAATGAACATAAAAACTGACCTGCTTTTGGTAGGAACCACAAAGTGCAAGTAAAAGGATACCGTTGTGGTACTTCTTGTTTTTCTGAGTTATATGGCTCATGTACTAGCATCCCATTCTGCATTTGTAGAAGGGGTGAAAAGAATAATTGGGGGATAAGTCTCAGAAGATGACTGAACAACATCTTTACAAGCTCTATAAAGAAAGGTAATACCAATGTCTCCTCTATGTTTCCTTGTTTGGGCTACACTTAAAAGAACTGGAAGTTGGAACCATCTTAGGCTCGGATAGAGAACACAAATTGTGTTTAAAGTTCATGCTTGTTAGGGAAACAAAGAGCTAAGAGTGTTCCATGCAAGTTCCAACCAACTTGGAAGGTGTACTCTAAACTAAAACCAGATCATATTCTTCCACACAATTCTCAATTTTTTTCTGTAGAAAAGGTGCATTATTATGTTTCCCATGTGAGTCAACGATACTAGTTTGTAACTGGAATTGCTATATAAATTATATGAAATGATGGCAGCATCTTCGGAATACTAACTGCTTATTAAACCAAAAGCAGGCATATGCCCATGCAAGACATAAGGAAGAGAGCACTTGACACAAACAATACTTATCAGCCCCAAATAATAACTTCAACAATAGTCAACTTACAGCGTAAGGGATCATTAGGGAAGTACTACACCGCTGATTCATTAAAAAGAATAAGGCAGTATAATATATCAAAAAACTAAACAATTTATTTAACAACCACCGAGACAGATGCAATTCTACTGACCCCTTACTGAGGAAAGTAGTTTATTGCCATGTTAATTTTAAAACAAACGGAAAATTTTTTTGTGGGGCTTGGAAGAAGAAAGCATGGAATGCACCATGATGATATCAAATAAAGTACTAATCAATATTCGTTAGTTAAACAGTCTTTCGTTTGAACAGTGCACTGACAAGTAGATGCTTCATACAATAGCTAGATATGTAGAGACAAACGTACCAACAACAGGAGAGCCATTGTGGGCCTCGTCTTCTTGTTCATGCAGTGTTCCTCTATTTCCAACTACCCTGCAGTTTCTTTCAGGAGCTTTCAAGCCCATTGGAGCTTTATGGATCTCTTCAGTCTCTCCAATGTCCACCAAGTGAGCATCAAATGCTAATGATTCACCAGACCTGATTATTTCATCCTTTTTAAGAAACCTGCTATCTAAGAGTGTCCTGGTTGCATCGTACAGCATGATCTGAATAGTGATACAGAAAAAGGAATTTGAGGATCAATGTGCTTTTGTAATTAACAATCACAACAACAGTAAGAACTGAATCAACACAAAAAATGTTCAAACATCACTAGGTAATAATATCTCTACTGACTAGGTTGGCAGAGTAAAAAAATGTGTTCATTGCATGCAACAATCACCATAATGCCACCGGTAGTACTGAAGGGCCCAACGACGTGGCTATCAACAAGCCATGCAAACATGTCATTCCTGATAATCCCCTAAAAAATTCTCCTTAAAACTAGCTCCAAAGGTTTGGTGGTTCGCTATAGACCTCCAAACAAAAAAAATAAGGACAGAAAATAATAGGGGGGAGTCTGTAATGCCCGAAATCAAGAATAGTCTAATAAGTGGTCAATAACCTTTACTTTTATAACAACTTTCCTCTTTTACCTAAATTAATCTCTCTAATTTATCGAGTCCAAATACATCTTTACTTCTTATTGTGAAAACAGGTATGGCCATCTCACTACATAAGATGTTTTCGTTTACAATTTTTAACTGTTATAAAATTTCAAAATTAAGGTCAAATTATTTGTCTCTTCTCATGTTCTCTGCTTCCTAACCACTACTTATGCCGACAGTGTGCCCAATTCTCTCTCACTCATCCCAACTTTCACTCTCTTGGTGAAATTTCAAAAAAGAGTAATATCAATAAACATTAAATTAATAGGACATACAGAATTTGTAGAAATCAACCTGCCTCCCTGACGATCCACAATTTGCAAGCCTTAGGAAACCATCGTGAAACTTCTTGGCCTTCTGAGTTATTTGTTTTGTGTACAAGACCTGCCATTCTAAATTGGAAATGATAAATGTTTAATCATGAAAGGAAAAGAAAATTGCAGTAAAACTGAAATATATCCCAAGGAAAACATGAAAGTTGGGCTTGTGAGAAATCACTAACTAGATAGTGTCAACCTGACAATTGATCAAACCTAATAACAGTGGTTAGTTTAAGAATTCAGAATGGTTTGATGTTTTGTTGTACAGTTGAGTGGAACAAACCATAAACTAAACGATTACTACCCCCGTCTGGTTGGAGGGGGGGCAACAAAATGAAAATAAAATAATAGAAAATGGGAATTTACAATAACGTTATATTTTGAACGCAAAACTGCATTCTGAAACTAACCTGTTATGCTGGTTTTTGTCGTATCAGGACAGCTTGGTGATGCACGATACTTGACCATTTCACTCTTCTTGAACTCTATAATTTTCAAAATAATACAATTATCCTTGTCAATAAGACAATTGAAAGAACTTGCTGGCACTAAAAAGGGTTATGCGCTAGAGCTAAGGCTTCCTTGAGAGAGAAAGTAACATAAAAACACACCATGAAAACAAACAATTCTACCACAAATTAAGAGGAAGATGCTCTGTATGTGCACAGAGATAAGACTCACATACAGAGCACACTTACGAAACATGTTTATAAAATGCTGGATTTCCTATTTCAACCTTATAAAATGTATATTATAATCTCCCCATGCCAGCTCACACTCAGGAATAAACAGATAATACTGAAAACTTGTTTCACTTTGCAAATGAAGATGAAGAGATGTTGAATGTGATCAAAGTAACCTCTGATGATTTTTTGTGATGGACTCAGATTACTTGATGGTGCTTTATTCTTCCCTGAATTAGCATTCTTATTTTCTGAAAAGAAAAGAACCATTGGAACTAAGAAATAAAAAGGAAATAATTAAGCAACTCGAAAAGGAAAAAATAAAAGAAAAATGATGTGATACCAACAGAAATTGGGTTATTCCTGAACTTTTGGCCATGTAAATTTCCAGATTTCTCCATAACCTTTTTATCTCTTCCTTGGAAATTCAAATTAGGTATAGATTTGTGATCTCCATGAGAATCCCCAATGTCGACTTGATAAGCATCGAATTCCAGTGTTTCACCGGATCTGATAACATCCTCTTTCTTCACAAACCTGCTTTCTAATAGTTTTTCACAATCATCATATAGCAAGACCTGTGTAAAGAATTCGAAAAAAGTACTAATGTGATATTTTCTGTATGATTGAACTTCACAAAATTTAGTTCAAAAAAAATTATTCAAATCCAAGCATAGAAGAAAACGAAAGAAAAACAAAAAGGAGAAATGAAAACACAATAATTAGAAAAAAAAAAAATCTCTTCAAAATTGTGGATTATCAGACATTAACTAGATCTTTCAGGTAGTGCCATAAGAAGTCATAACTTCACGAACTGATTAAGCAAGTTTTATGGAACAAAAGCACAATACAATAATCTGAGGTGCTAAACAACATTTTTCTGCATAAAAGACTCAACTCAATAATCTGAACACAATTTTTCCACACATTGCCACTTATTTTTGTATATAATTTTACTGTGCATTTAATATTCACGAATCATCATACAATGTCTTCTGTAGTTGAAACCAAAGCACAGTCAACTGCTTTGGGGGCCTTTAAGCAAACAATTTCACTGTAGTGTGTGTGTGTGTGTGTGTGTGTGTGTATATATATATATATATATATATATATAGAGAGAGAGAGAGAGAGGGAGATAGATAAATTGAAAAATTGAATGCATATGAAGGAACAAATTGAATGATTGGAAGACCTTGTGGCTTGACGAGTGAAGCTCTAGGAAACCGTCCTGATAGACTTTACGCTTCTGCTTGATGTGCTTTGTGTAGGTTACAGACCATTTCTTCGCATCTGCCATCGTTACAACAAATTTGCCTATTGGAGGTGATAAGATTCTACACATTACGACCGCCAATTCGCAGTATGCCAGAAATTTATCTGAATATCACCATTGAAAAGCGAGCAAACAAAGATATGAAAAATAGGTAGCATTCAGTTGAGTTGCTTTTGATTTAAATGGCGGGAACGTAGCAATTCTAAGTGGCTGACCGAAAGTCTGAGTTCCAATCTCGACTCTCACAAGGTACACATGGGGTGACCGAGTGAGGAGAAAAAAAAAAAAAAAAGGAATTTAGGGTAAATATCATAAATGTTCCATGAATTATGATCCTAATTTTAAATTATCCCTTAAATTTTCAATTATCTCAATTTATTTCAATCAATCTCTTTCGTTAAGATCATTAAATAAGATAAATTAACGATTAATTTTAATTGAATTTATTTCATTTAACGAAATCAAACTCATTTAACATTATTTTCAGAAATAAATTATATAATTCAATGAAAATTTTGAAACAATTAAAAATTTAGAAGTTGTTTAAAAGCTGAATTTACCCAGGAATTTAAAAGTTGAATTTGATGATTCACTTTGGGTGAATGTCACTTTGTACTCTAAAAGTCCATCAAATTCTCATTTTAATATTTCATATCGCTATCTAAATTAGAAAAAAAAAATGTAGTAATCAAAAGTATGTTGCTTTATTTGATTAAGTTTTCTGTTCTATTTTCGTATTTTTCCTTTTTTTTTTGTACATAATGCTTTATGTATTGCAGAAATGTAAGTATTTTATGAATAATTTAAACTCAATTTTGCTAAGACATGCTGGATTACGATCTTTTTATTCGATTAAGACGTAATATGCCTTAACAGTGTAAATTGATAATATAAATATCTTTCAAATTGAAAAATTATTTGTCCCAGCGGTTTTCAGAAATAGCATTTTTTATACCACAGTGGTTGGATTTTATGCTTCCAAGGTTTGTTTGGACATATGGGTATTAAACAAATAAAAGGTAGGTTTGATAGCATGACAAGTTTTTTAATTACTCCCATGTCCTAATATCTGCAACTAATTTTACCTTCTCCCTCGGAATTAAACTTCAATTAGGTTTTTGTCAATGGACCTATAACATAGCAATACTACAATAAATGTTTGTCTGGCTACGAGGGTGAGAAAAAAGGAGGGGGGGGGGGGGGGGGTTGAGCCCATGGGGAGAGAAGGGAAAAGGTGACCATGAGAGTGTCATGTAAAGAGATTTAAAAAAAGAGAGAGACGTGCCAGAAGAAAAGAAGTTGTCATCAAAAAAAAGATCCTGAGGGAGCTAGGAAGAAGGCTTGGGAGTGTCACAGAATTCACTCTATTTCAATTTAGTTTTTTTTTTTTGAGAAATCTACTACGTTTGAGAAATAATTTTGACCATCAATGTTGACCTTAAGATAAAATTGAATTTTCTTATTACTTTTGCTAGAGTCATGTTGTTTCTTGCTGACAGAGGGGGTTTTGTTATAATTTTTTATCTGTGACAGGTTTTTATGTAATTTGATTTGACATATCGGGCTAACTGTTTTTTTCTTCTATTTTTTTTTTGAAAAATTTATATTCATACTCATAAAATTTGTCACTTAGTCGGACAGACCCCTTCAAATATAAGAAATTACACATGAACTTCTTTAACTATGTGCACGTGTAACACATAAACTTAACAACGTTAGTATTCATGAACAACTCGTCAAAATTACATAATGACAGAATATTATCCATTAATATTTTCCGAAATACTTTTTGGTCCAAGTCTGATCGTTAGTGATTAATATAAGCATTGCTGACTATTTTAACTATTAGAATCAGAATTATAAATAGCACCCATATTTCTCAACTCTTTTCATTCTATTTGTTGAAGTGCTCTCTCTCACAAATATTGTCTAATATTTTTATAATTTTTAAATTAAATTTTGATATCATATTATCAGGTATTTTGTTTGCTATCAATTGTTGTCCTATCAAACGTAAGGGTATTTTAAGAAATATAAATGGATAATATACAGCTGTGTAATTTTGACTGTTCAGTCATAGATATTAACGTTGTTGGGTTTATGTGTCACTCGCACGCATAGACGAAGGGGATTTTTTATACCGATGGGTCTATTTGATTGAGTCACAAATCTTAGGACATGTAAATTTCCCTTCCCTTTTTTGACAGAATTTGCCCTGTATTTTTTCAATTTATAGATCTGAAACGAAGTTGAGAAGGAAAAAAGATCTCGCCTCGCCCAGTTTGAGGGAAAATTGAAAAAATATGGTAAAGAAAAGTTTCAACATAGTTCAATTTCTTGCTAATTTTGTAGTTTTTTTTGGAAGGTTTGTTAATTTTGTAGTTGCTGTGAATTGAATGAATAATTTGATTTAATTTGAGGGTGGTGATTCATTCTTTGTGGGTATCCCATTCACAGTCGGCGCTATTTAACTTCCATTCGTTTCTAACGGTGGTGTTGTTGGTAATTTGCGCATGTATGTGCTTGAAGATGCAATTCCCAGCACTCCTTTAATAGAAAACTGGGTAGGTCTATTCTTCTCCTTCGTAGACATATACACATCATATTTGTAGTTTTTTTCCCTCAATGGGCACTTGATGGGGTTGATTGTTTCCGGTGGAATTTTTTTTTTTTGATGGAAATCCATGAATTTTTTTACCAGCTACTTCCCTTTCAGAAGGTTGTTGCATCGAGAATATTTTGTTGATTCCAATTTATGCGGATGATCAGTGTGTTATTTTGTTGTTAAATGAGAATACTTTCGAGGGTCAAGCCTGCTTTTGCAGATTATTCATGTAAATTGGCATTTTAGTGAAGGGCAGCATTGTCTGAATCTATTACATACGAGTTATATGGTAGTGGTGTAAGAACATTTCAGTATTTGGTTGTTTCTTTAGTTGGATATTATCAAGCTTGAGAATATCTATTAGTTAGAGAAAACATGTAACAAGGTTTTTTAGTAATATACAACATAGATATATCAAAATGAGATAATTGTGGTGAAATTGTAAGTATCATTGATGGTGGATAGGTGATGAAGATGTTTAGTGTGACAATGAGAAGAATTTGATTGTTTTGATGCCTTTTGCATCAAGTTAGAGCTTGGGTAACCATCTCCAGAGTGGCATTAGTAAACATCGGTATTATGTTTGTTTGCTCCCCAGAGTTGTATTAGTGGTATTAGCAACCATCAGTATTATGTTTGGTTGCTGGTGTATGTTTCTCTGGGATCACATATGGTTGCGTATCATCACACTGAAAACCTTTGGAGGTAATATGTATTCCGAGTAACCAATGAGTTGTTTTCTACATGGCCATTGATTATTCTCCAAGATTTCTATGCTTTCATCGTTTTAATATTAGAAAAATGTTAATTGTGGAAGGTGCTTGCATTAGGGCATGAAGATTGTGTGCCAGCCATTTTATTTTCTTTAGTACTCTAATATATTCTGATTTTCTGTTTTTCTTTTATTTATATTTTTAAAGTACATTACCTCTAAATCAATGGCATTCTGATTGGTGTCTGTTTCCCTTTGGCAGATTTCGGGGTTTCTTTTGGAAGGTTGCTAGAATAGGTAATTAATTATTATTTTTTTGCATGCACAATCAGAATGCCATTTCTTCTCCCTTTTTCAATCATATGATTATTAAAAATGATGGTTTTTAAGGTTATGATAGGCTTGGTACCGTCACTAGGACCCAAATTGCTTTGTTTTCCATCAGCAAACATTTTGTGGAGGCCAATTTGACAAACACCCCCACCCCACAAAGAGAGGCCTGCATGTGTCTACCCTTCTTTTGACACACAAACTCGCAAATCATTGTAGCGCAGGTGTTGAAAATGAATGGTTTTGGTAAATTTTTTTGGTCTGCAATTTTGGTTCAAAACTGAAAATTTCAATTTTGATAATAGCTAATGGTGTCTTTTGAATGGCCATCATTCACTTACTAATGTGTGTACCTTCTTGGTGGGTAGAATGGCAAGCATGTTTCAGTTTATCTCTAGTAAAGTTGAAACTTTTTTGGTCTTTAATATGTTCTGTACATGCATTGGATCAATAAATAATGCTTGGAACAGGTGAACGTTTGAGCCCCTGGGTGGCTGTCGGATGCTTCACAATGGGCGTATCGATAATATTTTTCTGAGTGATAAAGAATTTGCTTGTATTGATGTAGATTCACCTTTTTTTCGTCCAGATAGCAATTGATTTGTGAGGCTCCAGGATTATTTGGATGTGAGAGGATTCTAATTTTTGTGCCTTTTTGGTGTGTAATCTTGTTATAGATAAGTGTTATTTTTGGCAACTTCATGTATGAACTCTCTATGAATTTGTTATTAAATCATCAGAGGTGGTCATGTGAATTGTTTTGCACCTTAATGGATAATGAATGCCCATGGTTATTTTTCTGGTGTTTGATTGTTTAGAATTCAATTTTTTTAATCTTTTGTTGGCATGAGAAGTTCCAATGGATCTCGTCTGGTAAATTTTCCTGGACGGTGCAAAAAATGTCATTTAATAAAATATCGGGATGATTCTGTACTGCAAAAGTTCAAAAAACTGTTTGCTCTGTTTCTTGGTTTGCTGGAGGTGTCATATTGTGCATCAATTTCTAAGTTGCAAGTTCTCATTGTCTCCTAGTTGGGTGAAGGGGTAAACAATCAACTCAATTTGACTACCTCATGATCTTTGCTAGTCACTGTGAACAGACCTAATTTGACGTGAACCTTGGGCCACTCCTGAACTTAATTAAGTGTGCAGGCAATCTTAACGTAGAATCCATGATTTCGAGTGCTAGAACCTCGTGGATACCAATTTAGCAAAAGGATCGATGAACTATGGCTGGTGCCCCCCCAAACCGGCCATAGGTGGTATATTGAATGATTTGTAGGAAAATGATTTTCTATTTATGACTTGCAAACAAAACGGTAATGCTTCAAAACATATTTAATGTACTTTGAAACAAACTTTAAGCAACTCCATGAA